TTTTGTCCATGTGCATGGATCAGCTATAGATTTAAATCCTAGATGACCTTGGGCAAGTCAGCCTTTCTGAATCTGTTTCCTTTGGGTTATTATAAGGATTGTGACATTAATTGACAAGACATATGTAAAGAAGGATAAAATAGGTATATAATTAGTGTTCCTTTTGTCTTCTCTGTAAGTCCACTTCAATGAATAATAAATATTTTGGAGTCATTGCTGTGGGTGTTTTTATTTTCATTTTGTAACATTTTTTTTCCCAGAGTAGAATAGTATGCAAGATGCTATTTATTTTGAAGCTTGAGAGCCTTCTACATTTGCTTTTCAGAGTTGCTCTTTTTCATTTAACTCAGTTGTTTGTAACAGTTGCTATTTTAAACACTTTGAATTAAGTGACTTTTTTGAGATGTGTTCTGTCGGGTGTGGTCATGTGATTTGTACATAACATAAAGTGTTCCTACAAGTTTTGAGAGCAGTGGTCACTTTTGGAACAGCTTGTATTTTTAGTTTTCTCTCAGTAAGTCAAGCTTACTTCAGCATGTGAGATGAACTTTGGTTGCAAAAAAGAAAGCTACAGCTGTTTTCACAATCTAATCCCTCAGCAAAGTTTGCCTTTTTTTTGGCCTTAATTCTTAATAAAGTTTCTTTTTGAATTTCTGCTTAATTTACAAATGTTTTTCACAATTAGTCTCTCATTTCTTCTAGTAGGTCTCTTTTAGCATGTCTGTTTTTAAGTTATAGGTCTGTCACTACCTATAAAATTTATAGAGTTAATATTCAGTGGTATATTTAGCTTATAATTTTTAATTTTTAAACACAGTTTAGAAAATACAGTTTTGTTGATAAATGTGTGCCTCCCTCCCACTGCTGGCATCATTAAGCACCATAATATCAATTCATAATTCTTTTACTTGCTCAAGAAAAGCTCTACCAATTATTGGTAGATTTTTGTTATTTTAGTTTGAAGAAAATCAAACCTGAACTGGAGAAAAAGAAATAGCAATTTGGGGAGTAGTTTACATTAGACATCTGGAACCAAAATAGAGTTTATGTGAAAATGTCAGAGAGCTAGCTTATGCACTAAAGTGAAGAAAATAGGCTAATATTCAGCATCTCATCCAGAAAATTATTATCTTCAACTTGGGAAATGTTGAGTTGAATTGCCTATGCCACATACATGTAAAGATGTATAATAAGTAATTAGCTGTAGAGATTTGAAGTTTGGAAGAGGGATCTGGGTAGGAGATATAGATGAGTTTTCAGAATATTGGTGGCAATTGATGCTTTTGAGAAATTGTAAACACCCAGGGAGAGAATGTATAGAAGAATGAGCAAGAAATTACATAGGTCCCTGAAGAATAGGAGTGTTTTAGAAGAAGAGTTTTTAAGGGGGGGGCGGGGGGACAGGGAAATGTGACATCATGAAAATTAAGAAAAAATAGCTTAAAAGGAGAAATTAGTCAACATCTATATAATAAAAGCCTAAGTGACTGTTATGGCAGAACAACCAGAATGACTGGTCGCCATGATGCGCACTGACCACCAGATGTTTAACGCAGGAGCTGCCCCCTGGTGGTCAGTGAGCTACCACAGGGGGAGTGCTGCTCAGCCAGAAGCTGGGCTCACAGCTGGCGAATGCAGCAGCGGTGGCGAGAGCCTCTCCTGCCTCCACGGCAGCACTAAGGGGCAGCGAGCCGAGCGAACGGTAAGGAGCAGCTAGCAGGCGGGTGGTAAGGAGTGAAGGGTCTTGGACTGCAAGAGGGCACAGGCCAGGCTGAGAGACCCCCCTACCCCACTCCCTCACTCCCAGTGCATGAATTTCGTGCACCAGGCCTCTAAGTAATGATATAATGGCCAAGGAAGATGGGGTCTAGAAAAAAATGCCCTTTGGATTTAGCACTGAGCCTCTGAGTAGCACAGGTTTATTAATGAGTGGTGGTGAAAATAAAAGCCAGATTTATGCTTTGATTTACATTATTAAATAATTTTTAAAATTGGCCATTATTTTGTCTAAGTTATTTTTTTTTTCATCTTAGCAACCAGAGCTGGACTGGCCATTATGGAGGAGGAGCTGCAGCATTCGCACTGTGTGAATTGTGTCAGTAGACGGTGTATGACTAGACCAGAGCCTGGGATTTCCTGTGACTTGATTGGTTGTCCATTGGTTTGTGGCGCAGTCTTCCATTCTTGCAAAGCTGATGAGCATCGACTTTTATGTCCATTTGAACGAGTGCCTTGCTTAAATAGTGGCTTTGGATGTCCATTTACAATGGCTCGAAATAAAGTTGCTGAACATCTAGAAACATGCCCCGCAAGTGTGGTGTGCTGTACAATGGAATGGAACCGATGGCCAGTTAGTTATGCAGATCGGAAGTCATATGAAAATCTAAGCAGAGATGTTGATGAAGTGGCACAATTAGATATGGCCTTGGCCCTTCAAGACCAAAGGATGCTCTTAGAATCTCTCAAAGTAGCCACCATGATGTCAAAAGCAACTGATAAAGTATCACAGCCTAGAGAACAAATATCAGTTAAATCAACTGTTCCAGAGATACCACATGCTAATGGTTTGGTGTCTGTTGATGAAGAATCTTATGGTGCACTTTATCAAGCTACTGTAGAAACAACCAGAAGTTTGGCTGCTGCTTTAGATATCCTGAACACTGCCACAAGAGACATTGGCATGTTAAGTACAAATCTTCCTGCTTCCTCAAATGAAATGAACGAAGAGCAAAATGCCAGAGAAAGCTTACAGAATAGGAACTTGAAAGACCAAGACCATGTTCATGAGGATGAGATAGGAGCAGTAGGTGGAATTGACCATAACGATACAAATCAGAATGCCCAACCTGAACAAAATGGTTCAAGTGATTTGTTATGTGACTTAGATACCAGTTCTTATGACACTTCTGCTCTTTGTAATGGCCTTCCTTTGGAAAATATATGTACACAGGTCATAGACCAGAATCAGAATTTACATGGTGATTCTGGAGAAAGTAACTTAATAAATGGAGAATGTGTAGCATCAGATGGCACTTCAGAACCTTCCAATTCACTTTCAGTAGCAGCACAACTTAGGGAAGTAATACCACCTAATGCTTTGCCTAATGGCACAATTCAGCGTATCCTCATGCCAGATGACGAGGATGAAGGAGAATTGTGTTGGAGAAAAGTAGACTTAGGAGACCTGAGGAATGTGGATGTCTTATCTTTCAGTCAACCTTCATTCAAATTTCTTTCCAATTCATGTTGGTCTAAACCAAAGGAAGATAAAGCAGTAGATACATCAGATTTGGAAGTTGCAGAAGATCCAATGGGTCTCCAAGGAATAGATCTAATCACAGCAGCATTACTGTTTTGTCTAGGAGATTCTCCAGGTGGAAGGGGTATATCTGATAGTCGCATGGTTGATATTTATCACATTGACTTTGGAACTCAGACTTTTTCACTCCCATCTGCAATATTAGCTACAAATACAATGGTTGGGGAAATAGCTTCAGCTTCAGCTTGTGATCATGCCAACCCACAGCTTTCAAATCCAAGTCCTTTTCAGACCCTTGGGCTGGATTTAGTATTGGAATGTGTCGCTAGGTACCAACCCAAGCAGCGTTCAATGTTTACATTTGTTTGTGGACAGCTATTTAGAAGAAGAGAATTTTCTTCACATTTTAAGAATGTGCATGGTGACATTCATGCTGGACTCAATGGCTGGATGGAACAGAGGTGTCCTTTAGCATATTATGGCTGTACCTATTCTCAGCGTAGATTTTGTCCATCAACACAAGGAGCAAAGATTATACATGATCGCCATTTGAGGTCATTTGGAGTTCAGCCATGTGTATCTACAGTATTAGAAGAGCCTGCTAGAAACTGTGTGTTGGGATTACATAGTGACCATCTAAGTGGTCTTCCTTTTGAGGTTCTGCAACATATTGCAGGCTTTCTCGATGGCTTCAGTCTGTGCCAGCTTTCATGTGTATCCAAGTTAATGAGGGATGTGTGTGGCAGCTTGCTTCAGTCTCGTGGAATGGTCATACTGCAGTGGGGAAAAAGGAAGTATCCAGAAGGAAATTCATCATGGCAGATAAAAGAAAAGGTCAGTTTAATTTTAATTGTATTATCTCCTTATTTGACATATAATAGGCACTTAATGTTGCTGAATTAATAAAAAAATGTTTGATATAGATCATTCTTAAACCTTAACTCAATGTGACAGTTAGATAGCTAGAATTGTCATAATCAATATTTACTGCAGACGTCCGAGAACTAGATTCTAATCTTATATGTCAGAGGCCACTTCTGTTTCTTTAATCAAGCAGTTTTGTATACATTTAGTTCTTCTGTAACAACTCCATTTGTGGCCATGTTAACCACCTTCTAATTTGGACTCCATCTGAAACATTTTCACCATAGGACAATGGGGGAAGCAAGAAGAAGGTTTTTTACTGCTTACAATTGGCATTTTCTTTCCATTCTTAGCAGTTTCTTTCTTAGGATTTGCTTGTTTCAGGTAGAACTTAAATAGGGAGAGATGAGAAAAAAGTTACTAGTTAAGTGATCAATTCAGTATTTGAGGGCAGGTGGACATAAATGGATGGATGTGGTTATGTATTAAGGTGAGATAAGAGTAGGGGCAGTAGAATTTGATGTTTGTGGTGGGACTCTGGGTTTAGTACAGTAAAAGGGAGTGCTGCATATTGGAAGCTTGAGCTGGGATTTAGGTAGACCCAGGAATAAATCCTGGCTCCACCATTTTTCTCCTGTGACACCTATTTTTGCCCAGCTTTTTTTTTTTTAAATACGTTTTTATTGATGTAAGAGAGGAAGGGAGAGGGAGAGAGAGATAGAAACATCAATGATGAGAGAGAATCATTGATCAGCTGCCTCCTGCAGCCCCCGACTGGAGATCAAGCCTGCAACCTGGTCATGTGCCCTGACTGGGAATTGGACATGACCTCCTGGTTCATAGGTTGACGCTCAACCACTGAAGCACACCAGCTTCTTTTGGAGGCACAATCCAATAGAAATTAGCAGGTATTATAGATATCTTTGTAGGTGTTCATTTCAGAACTTCTATATTATGGAACCTTGCATTTTATAAAGTGGAGAAAAATTTGATAAATTTCACATTGGGGTTTGGCTACTTTGTTTTTACAATCTTTAGGTTTTCTCTTACTTTCACTCATTGCTCCAGTTTTCTGAATTCTACTTCTACTTCTGTATTCTCCTAAGGCAGAAACTTTATACTTTTAATACTTGCTACATATATGTGTGTGTGTGTGTGTGTGTGTGTATTTTTTTCATTTTCATTTTCCAGATGATTTGTTGTCTTTCTCCCATTTGGCATGGAACTCTGATATGGCCTCCTGGCTTCTTTTTTTCCTTGCCCACTGGTTTTGACCAATGAGATGAAATATTTTCTGTAGTTCTATTCCTGCAGAAAATCTACCTACACTTGGAGTTTAAATTGCCATTATTTACTACTCACATATCTATGTCCTGGCCATTGTCTTACTCCACCAGACCATTATATACAGCCGTTTACTGGACATCTCCACTTGATTATTTCACAGCTTCATCAAACTCAGCATGTCCAACTTAATCCACTTCTCTTTCTCTCTTAATCTCATAAAGTGGCATTATCTTCTATCAAATTGCCTAGAGTAGGAATTTGAAAGTTAAAGTTGACTCCCATTTTCCCTCTTTATTTCCATATCCCATAATCACATATTGCTACAGCATCTTCCTTCTCAGACTTACCAGGTTTGTTTTACTGTTTCTATGACCATTTCCCTAGTTCAGTCACACCTTTAGTTCTCTCCTGGAGTACTGCAATAGCCTCCTCCTAACTGGGTTTCTGGTTCCATTTGTGTCTCTTTTTAGCATATTCTTTGCAGAAGAACTAGAGGGACAACCTTTATCTTTTTCTTTCTTTCTGTCTTCCTTCCTTCCTTCCTTCCTTCCTTCCTTCCTTCCTTCCTTCCTTCCTTTCTTTCTTTCTTTCTTTCTCTTTCTTTCTCTTTCTTTCTTTCTTTCTTTCTTTCTTTTCTCTCTTTTTTTACAGAGAGGAAGGGAGAGGGATAGAGAGTTAAAAACATCGATGAGAAACGTCGATCAGCTGCCTCCTGCACACTCCCCACTGGGTATGTGCCTGCAACTAAGGTACATGCCCTTGACTGGAATCGAACCTGGGACCCTTCAGTCTGCAGGCTGACGCTCTATCCACTGAGCCAAACCAGTTAGGGCAAAACATTGTCATCTTAAATACAGTTCTTAAGCTGCAGTGCTTAAAAACTTTTTAAATGTTTATCCGTTGCCCTGGGATAGAGACTCCTTAATGAAACATTTAAGATTTTTTATAATCTTGTCCTTACCTCTTCAGCTTCCTCTTACTACCCTCCGTTTCAGTCATGTTGATTTACTTGCAGTTGCCTGATGTTTTCTTTCTTGCCTACGGCCTTTGAGCACTTGCAATATGCTGGACAGTGGGCTAATAAGCATTTTACTTTTGTTAGTTTTTTTAATCTACTGTCCCTATTTTATGGAAGAAGAAATTGAAGTTTAGAGAGGTTCAGTAACTTGTCCAGCTAATCTATGGATTCAGACCTAGGGAACCTATCTCTGAAGCTTGTGATCTTCATATCCATGCTATATCCTGCTTACTCTTCAGATCTTAGCTTCCTCAAATTAAGCCTTTTAGAACCCCACTCAGGAACGTTCTGCTCTGTGTCCTTGTGGTGTCCCATTAAATACCCCTCCTTTATATATATCCCTACTAAAGCACTCACCATGCTGTTTTGAAATTCACTAATAAATTGTTTCTTTCATTAGACTGTAAGTTCCTTGAGAAGGGAGGCTCTCTAGGAACCAACATATTCTACTACCTAGCATTGCACCAGCCATATAGCTGGCACGAAGTACTTGAGAAATACTTGATTGAAAAATTGGCCCACTACTAAGAAACTTTGTCATCAGGAGGTGGGAGCCATCCATTTTTTCCTGAGTTTGTTTCACCAGACTCCAGCTATGTGGAAATAAGGAGGCTAACTTTAGCGTTCTGCTGAAGCTTAACAAAAACTCCTAATTCTTCCCATAGTTTCATGAGTATGGGTAATTGTAATCTAGAATGCCTATTGGTAGTTACTCTCTAGAGCAGGGGTGGGGAACCTTTTGTCTGCCAAGGACCATTTGAATATTTATAACATCATTCGCAGGCCATACAAAATTATGAACTTAAAAATTAGCCTGCTATATTTGGCCAAACATTTAATTAACTCACCCCTAATGCCTTGACAGGGTCAGACCAAATGATTTCGTGGGCCTTATACGGCCTGTGAGCTGGACGTTCCCCACCCCTGCTCTAGAGTCTAAACCAGCAGTCACCAACTTTCCGGACCTCATGGACCACCAGTGGTCTGCAGACCACTGATTGGCGACTGCTGGTCTAAACCACTGACTCCAGGTAAATAACTCCATCTAGGGTAAATGATACATCCCTCAGGAGTATAGCAAGTAAGTACCTTGTGTGCTGAACATTGGTAACTTCTATTGTCAACTAAAAAAGTAATTCTGTTTACACAGAATTTTGAAGGCATCTGGCCACTCCAGAAGTCATTATCATTCTTTCCTGAGCTCTACTGAGTTCTGAGGGCTTCCCTCAAATCTATTGCTACTTTCTAGAGCAGCCGTGGGCAAACTACAGCCTGCAGGCCGGATCCGGCCCATTTGAAATGAATAAAACTAAAAAAAAAAAGACCATACCCTTTTATGTAATGATGTTTACTTTGAATTTATATTAGTTCACACAAACTCTCCATCCATGCTTTTGTTCCGGCTCTCCGGTCTAGTTTAAGAACGCATTGTGGCCCTCGAGTCAAAAAGTTGGCCCACCCCTGTTCTAGAGTGTCTGCTGTTTTACCATTTATTCTGTGTTCTCTAACTAGACATTGCTTACCGATGAGCTTTAGCTAGACTGTTTGGGCCTTGTCTAGTCCCATTCATGCTTGTACCCAGGTCTGTCCTGCTCCATATATGTTTATTACCCATGTTCAAGTAGTTGTTTTTTTTACTTGAGAAGATGCAAGGGGGCCACAACACTCATTGCTAGACTAATATGATGACAGTACTTCAGGGCTTGGAGCTGCTGAGTGGCCAAAAGGGGAAGGAAGTAGCCCCCGCCACCTCCCCCCCTTTTTTTTACTACCATCAGACACAGGGGTAGCAGGTGAACATTTTACAATGATATAGAGCAAAATAAGATTCATTTTACAAAAATTCTTTCTATATAAATTTTCAGAAACATTTTGAATAAATTGAAGTACCTGTATTTAACATTACCAAGTACCTTTCATACTTAAAAAGAGTGAAAAGATAAGGTACCTTGACACAGTATTCTATAGTATTTTTCAGTGTGCTTCATATAAGCATAATCGGGATGGGTAAAAAAACCTGGATAAAAAAGTGTGTTATCTATTTCTCCAGACTATGGATAGCTCTATATAGCCAACTAGGTAGAATTAGCGAATAGTGTAGTTCTGAATTCATGAGGTTATGATTTTTTAAATTTGCTTAATAAGCCACATTGGATGTGATATATAGATTTTAAGTTAATCCTCACCTGAGGATATTTTTCCATTGGTTTTAGAGAGAATGGAAGGGAGGGTGAGAGAAAGAGAGAGAAACATTGATAGGAGAGAGACACATCGATTGGTTGCCTTCTATATGCGCCCCAACCTGGGGCCAGGGATTGAGTCTGCAACCAAGGTATATGCCCTTTACCAGAATCAACCTGTAACCCTTCAGGCCACAGGCCAACACTCTATCCACTGAGCCAAATCAGCCAGGGCAGATGTGATTTTAATATTGGTTTTTGTCTTTTATTTTCTTTTTGGTTATCCTCTTATTTATTGAAGTCATAATGTCATAGAAGCAATTTGTCTTATAAATATTTGATTAACAGATTTGTATCCAAATGGATTTACTACTTTTCAATTTTGTTCCTACTTGAAACGTTATACTGCATATTTCTCTAATAGTAGTAATGCATACAATTAGAGCAAGAAGTGTGTTTCAATACTTGTCAGTTGACTTGTTTAAATCTGAAGCAGAATTTTCTTGTAGGTGTGGCGATTCAGTACTGCATTTTGTTCTGTTAATGAATGGAAATTTGCTGACATCCTAAGCATGGCTGACCACTTGAAGAAGTGCAGTTACAATATTGTAGAGAAACGGGAGGAAGCCATCCCATTGCCATGCATGTGTGTGACACGAGAACTCACGAAAGAAGGACGTTCACTGCGCTCAGTTTTAAAACCCGTACTTTAAAAACTGTAACTCCACTTGCACATATATGCAAGCACCTAGTATAATTTCTTTGTAATATGTGACACTTTATTAATGTATTAAAGATTACAACTAGCTAAATTTATTGTCACTGTGTATATAATGTTTTGAAGTGACATATATTTTTATAAAGTACTGTTTAGTTGGAAAAAAGTTGCCTTAATGTTTGAAATGTGTGAAACTTTTGGAACTTGCTGGACAGGGTGAACTAATTTTTTGCTACATAATTTTCAGAATTAGTATTTTTAATGGTGTGCAAATTTTGGTTCTTAAATTTTTTGCTTCTTAAACTAATAAGATCCTGACCAAACATATTTCCTCATGTTTTTGTGGGTTGCAACCCATACATTCAAAAGCAAAATTTTGATTCACATTTTTGCACATAGGTTTTTCAGGTGAAAAATTCAGTTGCTTAAACATTGACATAAGATCCTTCTAAAGATTTTATATTCTAATGCTCCCTTTATACAGTTGTTGACATGTAGATGGTTTCTAATATATACTTATATAATATTTAAAATTATGACTATTTGGTAATGCCATTTATTACATTTTAAAAATAATTCACAAAGATGTATTCACTGTATGTATTTACAGCTCTCCTTCATAGAGTGGTTCATACACAACTTTCTTTTTGTTAGATGCCACATCCAAAGACTGGCAACATATTATATGACAGGTTAAAGCAAAACAAACAAAAGCCTGTGAATTTATTTTAATTTGAAGCTGTTCATGGTATTATTTGCTAGGTAGTCGATATTAGTAGAGAAGAAAATATACCTCATTTTAAGTTTGAATTGGGCATATTGTGTAAATAAATTTAAAGCATTCAGAATGCAAAGGGCTTCCCTTTTTTTATAAGTATTTAAAATTTTTGCTTTTTGATGTTTAAATAAAATCACAACTCTGTTGCTTTAAGACATTTGAAAATGTGAAATTTGGTATCTTTGTAAGATGACAATCTTGAAATGCAGAAACCTGTTGTGGTTGACAATCTCCTTAAAACAGTTCCAGTTTAATCTCCTATAGCCTTCTCTATCAAAAAAGTAAGAACTGCATCTTTGTGTAAAGATCAAGGTACAACAGAAAAATATTCAAAGACCTATTCTTGAACTATTTTATTATAGCTTTCCAATTTATTAATACTATTATTAACCTGATGTGGTCAGTTTAAAAAATGAATGTATCAGTATTTAGAAACAAATTGCAAAGATGGGGACATGTATTTAAATAATTTGTTTTAAGTAACTTCTGGCATTTGGTAGTCTGAAATGGTGACAAGTTACCTTGTTATAAAATATCAAAACTCTATTGTATCTTTTCTTCCTACACTTGTCCCTGAGAGTGCTCTATTGTTACTACGTTCTTGATTCCCATATATGGCAATCAGGCTGGGCAGAGGCATTCCTTGGGCATTAGAAAAGAATTCTAAACTGTTTAAAACTTGTTTTGGTTGAATCAAGACCTTATTATTGTTGAAAGATATAGCACTAAAGTCTAATCAATTGTTTCACCTCACCTGTCATTTTAATTAGTGGAATACTTATTTCTCAGTGCTTATACTTTCTTTTTCAACTGAGATTGAAGGACATAACCAGTCTCTATTTCTGTGAAAACGTCAGAAATAAGATATCAAATAATATAACTCTGCCTTTTAAAGTTTTGTTGAAGAATGTGTCTGGTTAGGATAGCACAAACATTAAGTTTTTGTTTTATGGTTGTGCTTTTTAAAATCCTTGGGTTTTAAGTTTAGACTTCTTGTTTCCATACTGGATCATGAGATATTTAACATTTTTCCACCGTTTAGTTCTTTTACACATCATTGGCTGTTTTCTTTTTTGTTTGTTATGCCACCATACTGTTTTGTTAAAATGTGTTCTTTGTGCAACATTTGTTCAAATTCTAATAAAATTAATATTTTCCCTATGCGGCTCAGTAACTTAAAAAGGAAAACTTTTATTTAAATAAAACTTAATACTTGTTTAACAAATTCCAAACACAGTCATGCTGTTTCTGTAGAGTATGTTTCTGCATGTTACAGGAACTGCTTGTTGATTATTACTCACCCATGTTTTACTGGTGAGCATTAAATTTCTTTTTTAATATGGGAAGTTTATCAGCTTTCTGTGCCCCCTCAGTGTCTTCTTGAAAGTAGTCCCACCTGTGGGGTATTGAAAGGCTGAAGAGTTTCTGGCATTATTATTTTTCTAAAACTTGTAATGGGCACAATTTATCTAGCCTTGTAAGCATGAAAAGATTTGTATGACATCCAAGTGAATTGTCATTTGAGAAGTCTTTGTTAGTCTTTGCTAACCATCAAGATAAAGTGGCAAGTGTAGGATGGAGGGAAATAATCTGAATTCACTTTTATCTGCTGTCTCCTTCCTCAGAACTGCCTGTTATTTTAGTTCCTTCCCTCCCTCTCCTCCCTTCTCCCTCCTCTCCCTCCCTCCCTCCCCCATAAACTCTGGGATTGGAGCCAGCAATCTGTTTTAACAAAAGACCTTCACGTGATTATGATTCACAGTAAAGTATGACAACTTAGAGGAAAGACTGGAACATGCCAGCTGTTCTCTTGATGTGTTACTGGAGTGGGTAAATGTGTGTATGTATATACATGTGTAATCCAAAATTATGAGTTAATGGTTAAGTTAAATGATATAGTTGTGTTAATATTATAACCATGTGAGAAAATACATTGGGTACCATGGTTTTTGGACATTTTAAAGTATTTATAATATTTTAAATTTACTGTTACTAGTGTTCTGTTCAAGGTAAATTGTAATGCAACTTACAGTTCATCAGCACTTACATTTAGCCTAGTTATCAATTTTTCTCTTGTTTAGTGGTTACAGAGTGATGTGAATGTATTAGATTTCTAGGATAAGTAAAGAGTGTAGAAGTAGATAAATACTGGATTAAACCCTACAAAAATATTTGTAGGAATCCTTTCAACCCTATCAATGAAGGATTTTAAAGGTTGAATTGTTAGTTTATCAATAGCATAAAATCTTTTTTGGTCTTTGACCATGTGTTGCATACATACCCCATCAATATTGTTGCTGTTTGCTATCCCTTAACATTGGGTATTGGGATCATAGTAACATTGAAGATAATGGGGTCAATAAAACTTTCATATTCTTTGAAGACAGGGTAGTTTTATTACTATATTGATAACAGATTTTTACCTCTGGTGGTTTGAATGCATTGTTTGGCATTTAGGCGCAAAACACATTTAAGTTTTGCATCTCAACTTAAGAATGGGGTTTATTAATATTTAAAAATGTCTAAGGAGTAGTTATGCAAACATAAAACTGTGTGTTTCATGCATGACACCACATTAGAAGGTGATATGACTGGGTCCTGCAGAGGTGGGTGTTTAGAACTGCAGCAGAAGGAAAGCAATTGGCCCATTCTTTCAAAAGGCTGGACTAAGCTTTGGATGGAAAGAATTTCTTGGATATGTGTTTGGCTGATCAGCTAAATACTGTTCTAAGTAATCTTACTTAACATGCTCATGAGGCCTAGGAAGAGAATATTAGTTATGCCTTTAAACAAAATCAGCTCATCAGTGACTTGTCCATTGTGTTAAAATAATTCAATATGGGTTTCCTTAGGATTTGATCTAAATCTGATTTCAAACAAAAACATCTGTAGAAGTAGAGGCCAACTCTAAAGGAGTAAACTTTCTAAATAAGGAAAGAAGAATGGTTTCTTTCTAAAGTCGCCTTCCGTGGAATTACTTTGATTTAAAGGATCAAAGTAAGTTCAAAAAGATGTTCTTTAAGTTTCCAATATATGGGTAGAAAACTGCGGCTCTCCAAGTTTAGGTATTGATGAGTGTGGAGGTATTTTGAGAGAAATGTGCCCCGGCATGGTTCATTTTTCTACTTTACAAATACAGAAAGAGAAAGGACATTTAGATATAAGGAAATTACTTTGGAAAATATCGTTGCCTAGAATGTTTGATTCCTAATAAGTGTTCAGAAAGAGTTTTGGGTAATACCAAAAAGAAAAGTAGAAACTAAGTAAGGTATGTTGCTCTGAAAATCCTTTGCAAAAACTAGTGTCTTTTGCTGAAATGGTTTCAAGTATTTGCACCTGTGAGTAGTAACATTCTATAAATTCATTGTTTATATGTATATTTATTTGCATGTATAATCTCCATAAATTGGCCAAGTAGATTTTAATATATCTTGAGATGTATTAATGGAGATACATCTTGAGGTGCTTTTTTCTAAATCTTAGAATGTTTCAAAACTGACATTTTTTATTCAGAATGTTTGATGTTCCAATGTATTATGTGGGAAGTGACTTTTCATTAATGAACTACAAAGAAATAGGTTAAAAGGATGAGTTTTAAAATGCTTTATAGAAATACAGTAGAAACTCATTGATATGAATCTATTATATATTTTTAAAATATTTTTGACTTGCTGGACTGAAGTGAGTAGTCTTTACTATGAAGAAAAGCATTTCTAAAGCAAACTGAAAAACAAGGGAAATATGTTTCTTTTTTCACGAACACCAATAAAATCTCAAGCACCCCCAAGTCATTATTAGTCCATTTGCATGCAAATAGGAGATGGTTCTTCAATGCATAGCTAGTTCTAGTGGTGGTAATAGTGTATGTGTTTGAAAGTAATAAGACAACATTTCTTTTGAATTATTTAAGATTGGCAAAATCATCAGGTCAAATTATTTTTTCCCAGTAAAAGCAGATAAATCAGGTTTAATTTTTTACCTTTTTCTAATATAAATTTAGAATTTTCTCAAGACAATATCCTTAAACAGATAAATAGGTTTATATGTCTTGGTTCATTCCTTGGCAGAAGGGCTGACTGGTTAGATTTCTATGCCAGTCAAAGAGTAACATCAACTGTTACATTATCATTATTCAGTGGTCTAATATAAGAACAGTAGCAATAATTTGTTATTGCTCAAAAGATTGAAGTTGAAAAAAGGAGACCCTGCCCTTTGCTATTCTCTAGATGCTTTTTTCATTGAACCCCCCCCACCCCATTAATTTATATTATTGCTTTTTATTCCATAACTTGAATTTTCTTACCAGGTGATCAAAAAACCTAGTTTTGCTAATCAGCCTGTGATTAGTAATTTTTGTCCATACGTTTACATTTTATTAAGTAACTTCAACTTTTAAAGTATCTCAGCTCAAAAATTTGTAGTATGGAAAAATTGAAGTATTCAAGTTTAACCGTATTATTTAATTAAAAGAAACCAAACCATAGAAATGGAAGCCATCATGGGTACTGCATCCGGTCAAGAGTAGAACTATCCAGTGAATATTTAATTATGTCAAATGGATGGCTTCATATCAATTGATAACTTTTAAAAATTGTTACCTGTATTAGAGATTTGAAGTAAAGTGGAGAATGGTATTAATTCCCTACATTCCAATAGTTTTGTGATGAAAACTATGACATGAATTGCTTTGAATGATTAATAATTTGGTGGACATGAATTCTAAAGATTTTTATGTTACATTTAAAATGTTAAAACTGTATTGTTCATTTGATCAGTGTTTAAGCACCAGTCAATCCTGAACACTTGAATTGCATTCTGAAAGGTAATTGCACTGACTCCTTTACTTACCTCAGAGGTCATTATATCTCTTTTTGATAATTTACATTAATAAGTGTTTTCTTCTTAAATGTGAATGGATATGGTTTTTCTTGAAAAAAGTATTCAGTGAAAAGCTAGAGACAAAAGGCCACCTATTGTATGATTCCATTTATATGAAATACATATCCAGAATGGGCAAGTCCATGGAGACAAATCAGATTAATGGTTACCTCAGAGGTCATTATATCTCTTTTTGATAATTTACATTAATAAGTGTTTTCTTCTTAAATGTGAATGGATATGGTTTTTCTTGAAAAAAGTATTCAGTGAAAAGCTAGAGACAAAAGGCCACCTATTGTATGATTCCATTTATATGAAATACATATCCAGAATGGGCAAGTCCATGGAGACAAATCAGATTAATCAGCTAGGAGCTGGGGAAGTGACTGTTAATGGGTACTGGTTTCCTTGTGGTGATGAAAATATGCTAGAACCAGATAATGTGGATTGCACAACATTGTGAATTTTCTAAATGCCACTGAATTGTACAACTGTGACAGTAATTGGCTTCAATGTCAACGTTCATTTTTCACCTTTTGCATTTTTTTATGATTCCTTGTGGCACATGTCAATTTAAAGGTCCGTATTTAATATCATGCTTTGAAGAAATTTATAAATAATTTTCAGGATTATTTTTATAGTTTTATACTTTGTTTTCCTTTTAAAGAACAAATACAATGATGTGTTAGATAAGACTAAATTAATAAATTGAATTACTGTATATATTTTGTATTCTTTTGTATTGTCTTGTGGGAAAAACATGTGAATCTTGGGGTTGGTAGGTACTTTAATGCCCATTTAGTTTCGCATTTTATATTTGGAGAAATTGAAGCTGAGTTTGTCAGCGTGTTCATTCAACGAGTACTTATTGAGCATCCATGCCCTGCACTGTGTAGGCTTGATTCTGGAAGGCTGTGACATGCCTACGGTTACACAAGAATTAATGACTACTTCTTCCCTTTCCCCTTTCTCCCTCCCGCCTCTCCTCCTCCTCCTATGTATCTGGTAATTACATTAGATACATGGACAAATGGGCAATTTCCAGAGAAGGAGATGGTTTACCAGGGGTGGGCAAACTTTTTGACTCGAGGGCCACAATGGGTTCTTAAACTGGGCCGGAGGGCCGGAACAAAAACATGGATGGAGTGTTTGTGTGAACTAATATAAATTCAAAGTAAACATCATTACATAAAAGGGTACGGTCTTTTTTTTCAATAGTTTTATTCATTTCAACCGGGCCAGATCCGGCTCGCGGGCCGTAGTTTGCCCACGGCTGGTTTAGACAGAGATTCACCTTACATGGTTCTTCCCATAGCTCTCAGTAAAATACACATGACCACAAATAGTCTATTACTTGAGGAATGCTTTCATTAACAATTAACTGTAACATGACTTTGGGAAAGAGGAAATTACAGCATCCCCCTCCCCCCTACCACCACCACCACCACCACCACCACCACCACCACCATCCAACAGTTCAGCGTACCTTCCTATGAAACTTTCACAAGCTGAAATGACGGAGAGAGAAAAAGTAATTACCATTAATTTATATGAAAAACATTTTCAGCATTCCCAGACCCAAAAAGTAACCTATGATATCATACCAAATAACCAATAAAACCTAAAATAAGTATGATGTAATAAACACAGCCTATAAAAGTAGAAATAATATTTGTACAGTGTAGTCTCACTTATTAAAAAGGTTAACCAATCTCTCCTTAAGTATAACCTAATGGGATACCACACTTTGAACATCCATCAATCCACTTAAGCAACAGACTACATTTTACCCATTACTGGATGCCTACTAAGAGACCACTTTGCTACCAGCAGAACTGATAGTAACTTCAGCAGCTTTCATGATGCTCTTTCTCTGTGGATAAGTAGTATGAATGGTGAACGCAGGCAAGCTCAATGCACGCACAGTGTTTTCATTTTATTCACAACAATGGAAACAATTATGCCCAGTTTTATACTAAGCATAACACCCTTACAAACTCTCTTAGGCCTTTCTGATACCTTAGGACACATCTTGTTAATGAATGTACAAATAAACGGAGATGAAGCACAGATGCTCACAGACTCGGGTCAGAGCGGTGGGGCTTGATGCTGAGAGGCTGTGTGTTTCCCGGAAAGGAGCTGGGTGGCCACTCTCTGCTCGGGGTGCTACTGCCTCTATAACAGATGCTGCACAACAAATGCAAAAAGCTTCAGATTTCTTTTGTTAGCAGACAATACTGATGGAGTCATCCATAAAAGTGAAGTAAGGTAACATGGATCTTAAAAAAGTGGGGGACACCTGCATTTTAAGCAAATTCTTTTTCACTGTGTTTGTTTTAAGGGGTTGACTTTGGAAAATTGTTGATTAGAATCAATGTTTAAAATGTTACATTTCTTTGCAAATAATTGTGCCTCTCATGTCACTGGGGGTATATATGCCAATCAAGGTGTGCATATGCTCCAACTTGAACAACAATAAGTATAATTAAATGAGCTTAACAGAATGAGGCTGATAGGCACTGTAAACTATCAGAATAACCATAAAGTGGATAAGAGGAGACTTGCATTCCAATAGCTTTACTTACTGCAACAGGGTCCAACGTCAGAGGGAGTGGGAGGAAGGAAAATAATTGTGATAATTCATAAACAAGTTTATTGTGATTTTTCACTTTAGTGATTTCTTTTTTAAAAAATATATTTCATTGATTTTTTTTTTTTTTTTTACAGAGAGGACGGGAGAGGGATAGAGAGCCAGAAACACCGATGAGAGAGAAACATTGGTCAGCTGCCTCCTGCACACTCCCCACGGGGTATGTGCCCGCAACCAAGACATACGCCCCCGACCGGACTCGAACCTGGGAGGGACCCTTGAGTCCGCAGGCTGATGCTTTATCCACTGAGCCAAACCGGTTAGGGCACTTTAGTGATTTCTTATTTACTTCATTTTGTGATATTTCTACAATAGCTAGGACTCTTTTCCAAACAGTTTATTTGAACCGTATTTTCTTCGTCATCATTTCTCCATCCCTTTCAGGTTGCAACATTTTATATCATTTTATGTCTTTGAGCCTTTACATATGTTTTTTCCTTTGCCTAGAATGCCCTCCCCAACTTACTTGCCTTGTAAACTTTAGTTAATTGGTGAGGATCCAATTCTGATGTCACCTATTTTTCCCCCCCTAGATCATCCCAAGCCAATGAATCATGCTTGTCTATGTCTCCATTTTTTAAATCATACCTTTCCCCATTATTCATCGCACTGCACTGCCATTATCTATTTGCTAGTATCCTTATACTACTATTAGGTTGGGGACCATTCTAGGTACAAACTGTCTTATTTGGCTTTGGATCCCAGTGCCAGGCAGAGGGCCTTACGGAGGGCATTCAGGAGGCATCTGTTGAACTAATCAAAACATGATGGAGTAATTTTTAATGCTGTTTCAGTTAGCTTTTGCTGAGTAACATGTCACCCCAAAACTTGGTGCCTCGAAATAAATTTAATTACCTCATGATTAGTTGGCTGGGCTATTCCGGTCTGGCCTGACTCGGCTGACCTCTGCCAGGTTGGCTCACACATCTATGATCAGCAGATGGGTCAGCTGGAGGTCAGAAAATCTAAGACAGCCTTACTGACACTTTGGACAGTTGGCAGGCTGTTGGCTGGGGTGATGGGCATGATTAGGACACGTCTCTCATCAACCATAAGGCTAGCCCAGGCAGTAGGAAGAACAGCAAGAGACTAAGCTGAAAAGTGCCAGTTCTTTCCAAGCCTCTGCTTGTCACAACTGTTAATGTCCCATTTTCCAAAGCAGTTATATGGCCAACCCCAACTCAGGGCTTGGAGAAATAGACTCTACCGGTACCTCCCAACAGGAAGAACAGTAAAGTCATCTTGCAAATGAGAGTGTGTATATATAGGAACAGGGGAAGCATGTCACTTAAATCAATCACATATTCGATAGTCCCTCCTCCCTTTTTTAGATTTCTGTGACAAAAATCCCTGAATATTAAAAACTAGGGCCAGTTCAAAATATCCTCTGCTTTTTATTCTTTTTTTCAAATTGGAGAACAAAAAAGTAACAGGTTTTGTTCTCCAGAAAATTTACATAAAGAATTGCTTGAAAGAAATTGAGTCAGAATAAAAGAATTACATTCTTTTTAATAAAAATATATTTCTTTATTGATTTCAGAGAGGAAGGGAGAGGGAGAGAGAGATAGAAACATCAATGATGAGAGAGAATCATTGATCGGCTGCCTCCTGCACGCCCCCTACAGGGGATTGAACCCACAACCCAGCCATGTGCCCTTGGCCGGAATCAAACCTGGAAACCCTTCAGTCTGCAGGCCGACACTCTATACACTGAACCAAACCGGCTAGGGCGAGAATTACATTCTTAAAAGGCCTCTATGTTTAACTCCTTGGGCTCAAGGGAGGACCAGGAAGTTGTCAGAGCCTGTAGCTTTTTCACAGTGGTCCGGTGAGATGCAGAAGTGGTAGTGAGATGTTTCTCTCGAGGCTGTTTGCTGGGGTCTTATGATGTCAAAATGCAAGGCCTGAGGAGTGGGGGAAAGCTTAGGAAAATTTAGAGCCCAGGGTATCTGAACGGTAGGAGAGGATTGGGGAGGTGGTTTCAGGCAATGTTATGTAGCTTATGATGTGGAATCCTTTCATGTTTTGGGGGAGAGACAAATCAAGCTTGGAATTCTTGTTCTACAACCTCTTGGCTTCTGATCCTTGCTTCCTTGAATGTAACTCAGTGAGTGTGGGGACTGAGCCACATAGAGCACCAGTTAAGATGTCCGGTTTAAAATTAGGAGAATAGCCCTGAAGAGATACCTTTGATAAGTCAGGAAGCTCTGAAGGTATGTGATGAGCTGGAGAATTTCATGACACAAACTCATGCCTGCTGGATTTCTCAGTGGCAATGTGGTCTGGGTGCGAGAACTTCATTCCTGAAGGTTGCTTCAGCTGTGGGGAAGGGTGGGGAGCAGCTCTCGTGTAAGGACAGCAGGGAGGAGCTGCTCAGGGCAGAGAAGCAGCTGTGGCAGGGGAGCATTGTGGTTGAAAAGTGACTCCTTAGTATCCAAAATGTTTACAGGATCTGTAGTCAAGGCCCATCTTTTATTGCTGATACTAGTAATGTGTTTATTTTTTTCTGTTTTTCTTTACTACTTGTGATAGGAGTTTATGCATTTATTAATTTTCTTCAAAGAATCAACGTTGGCTTTGTCAGTTTTCTTCTTTTTTGTCTATTACATACTGTTTGATTTTTTTTTTTTTTTTTTTTTTTTTTGCCCCTGAGCCTTATTGTTTTCTGCCTTGGGTTTAATTTGCTCTTTGTTTATCAGCTTCTTACTGTGGAAACTTGGATCATTGATTCCAAACATTTTTCTTTTATAATATATGCATTTAAAGATATAAATTTTCCTCTAATCACTGCCTCAGTTACACAAATTTTGATATGTTTTTATTTCATTATCATTCCATTCAAAATATTATCTTATTTCCCCTCTGATTCCTTCTCTTATTTGTTTAGAAGTAAATTATTAAATTTCCAAGTTGGGGGAATTTTATAAATAGTTGTTACTGATTTCTAATTCCATTGTGTTCAGGCAATATACTCTATAGGTTTCAACCTTTTGAAGTTTATCAGGACTTTTATTTTAGGGGCCAGTCTTGATGAAAAATCTGCTTGGACAGAATGTGGACTCTGCAGTGGG